CACACACTCGTATTCACAACCACTCTCGCGGCCTGTAGTTCAGCAGTAATGCCAGTCGGAAATATTTGCACCCTGGGAGAAACAGAAAGGGACTACTTCCCGAGTGGCCAACTTTACACGAAGGAAACGAAATTCTAATATAAAATAAAAATAAATTCTACAAACATCATAAATAACGCATTCAATATCATCAATGATTGACTGAACTTGTGTATTTTCAATAACACCCGAAATTCTTAAAATTATGTTATAGCTAGTATCAGACGAAGACATAAAAATGACAGTCAAACACCAACTCCCGTTGACAGCCGATTATCCCAAAATGAAATGTACAGAAAGATCTGATAACAGTATACAACTAATTGTGCTCCCACTCTCGTCGGGCACCTCCCCCTATACTAATACACTCGCTGCCTGGTGGGTGACTACTGTAAGATCCACGTGCCGCCGGCAGGCGCCTGACGGACGATCTGTTCGTCCGCGGTTATTCTCACTTTTGAGAGACCTTCCTGCGTGACTCCACGAGCACACGTACCCAACTGTTCACGTGTTCGAGAGAACTGGCATGATACATCAGAGCCACAATTACCTGATTGCTGCGTCTTAATGCAACCTAATATTTATTACGACTTTATAATTGATAAATATTTTCGGGCTACTCAGGATGCAGTAGATGGCGGCTGGCATGATAAAATGAGTCCAGACCAAAGAAAAAAGAAAACTAATACAATAATGTGTCTGCTTTTATGTAATTGTATGTTCATTTATGTAAGTGTATGTTTATTTATGTAATTGGCTGGTGGCATAATAAAATTGATAGGTAGAAGTTGAAAAGATTTGAAGTCGCAGAAAAAGGCTACCGTATAATTTCTTGATTTAAAAATGTTTTCACTTCTTACGGCAACTCTGCAACCACTTGAAACTAGACTTCTTCTTTTCTTAAGAGACTCACACACCTTGAAATGGAAGGGGGAGTTACGTAACTTTAGCACCTCCTGCAGTTTTCGAACGGTTGAAGTTATTGCAATGAAATTTTCACGGAAGTGCATGAGGGGCTGGGGCTAATTGATACATGTATTCACTTCTATTTTATCACTTGCATTTTGTGAGATATTGAGGTAATTTTTTCCCGTTGGAAATGAACATTTTTTAGTCGAGCGTCAAAAGCATATATATGCATATTGATGTATGTTAGGTAAGCATATTTTTAGCAATTTTAATTGTTTTGCGACCCGGATTTAACGAAGATTTTGACTATAGCAGTCCACCACACAAGGTCACGCAGCGCTGCCCTTGCTAATGCGCGCTCGGAAAAGGTGAGCTAATCGAAGTATTTGGAGATACGAATCGTGTTTCAAATCTGCACAAAACTGTTGCATTTCCCCCCTGAAGTCTTCTTTCCATCCTTCCTCGTTTTCACATTTTTTTGTTTCTTTGATTGACACTTTCTTTGATTAAAAAAACAAAGTTATATCTCGTAAAATAGAAGTGATAAAATAGAAATGAATACATGTATCAATTAGCTCCATTCGTCATACATTACCGAGAAAATTGCTACACAACAAGTACCAACATTCAAAAACTGCAGGAGGTGCTGAAGTTACGTGATTCACTCTGTACAGGCCTAACAGTTTTGCTCTTACAGTTTAACTGTCAGGGTAAACACGAGCGTTTGAGGCCCCAACTATGATGAAACTGCCATGAACTAAGTTTTTAAGCTACTGATTTTGTTAGAGTATTTTATTTCTTTATTTATATAACGTAAACAAACATTAAAAACTGGGTGGGTGTAGTATGGGGGAGGCGTTTAATCTCCACACGCTTTCTTGAGTTCCAGAATCTCTTTGTATTTTACTGTACAGTATTTTCCTAATACTTTTTTTATATTTTACTATATTTAAGTTGAATTGCGAATAGAAATAGTAACGGGTGTGAATGGCAACATTGGGGAACTAGAAAGTTTAGTTTCCACGTAAAAGAAAACTATATCCTTTGACAAACGAACTACAGATGTAATTTTACATTGTTACTGTCGAAATAACTGTCCACTCTCGTCACACTCCTGTAACTAGCATATAGTAGTAGAGAATGGCACGGACTTTCTGGAACTAGTTTGTTTTCTTAAATCAGATAGTCAAAATAAGCTCTAAAGTGATCGTGGATTTTCTTTTATTTATTTCTGGAGGCATGTCGCGACAGGTGCGTAAGTCATCATTAGTAGGAAATATAATTACATAGTCTGTATTAAAAACAGTTAACTTTAAACGGAAGATTATTCAAATAATGTAAATGTACGTAGCTTGAAACATGATTTAGGAAAAATAAAACAATGGTTGTAGCTTGCTCTGATTATTCAGCCTCAATAACATTAGGATGTTTTCTTTTCTCGTATAATTCCTAAGTGATACATAAATTGGACAAACCTTCATAATATGTTCTATTGTTTCCAAGTGATTGAGGTTGCATGTCTTATATATCTTGTTCTCGATATTAAGAGTAGAGAATTCAGCAGAGTTTACTCATGTGAGTTTTCTTGAGTAGTACATTACAGTTTTCTAATGAATGATAATGAAGAATTCAGTGTCATCCACGAATTTTGTTAACAAATAACTTGAACAATTGAAATTGATGCCTTTGATAAAATTATGAATTTTGTGACCCGCAGTGAACAAATTGACTCTTGTCCTTTGATTCACTGTACACTGCTTTTTATAAATACACACACCTATGGGGAAGGGGGCATGGGTAAGTAAAAGCTTTTTAGATCATAGTTTTCTGGACACTATATACCAAATCCATTAAGATACACTTTAAAAATAAATTATACTAGATTGTTAAAAAAAATAATTATACTCGTTTGATAGCACATCGCTTAAAAATTTTGAATTCTGATTACCTTCGAAATATTCCAATTATTCTTACTTCGAAAGCTCCTCAATAATCCTTTGAAAGTTAAATTAATAACTTCTATTGTTTTCAATGTATAAAAATTCTCCATAGTTATCATTTCTTATTGTTTTGGAATTCAAATTAAGATAATGAACGAAGTTAAATGAATAACTATGCTGTGTTTGCCAGTGAAATATTACAGACTTCTTAACTTCGTTTCCTCATATCGGTGATATCGTTCGATAACACGTACACATCTGCTTCCTCATAAGAAAGATGAACACGTGACAAACTCCGTATTTTACGAGTATGGCAGCTAACCTCACAAGGTCGAATTGTTAGTTACATTCTTCCAAGGGGAGCTCTTGGGGTACTCAACAAGTGTACGCAGTTTACAAAGTCGAGAGGAATTATAAAAGCACTTGCGTTAATAAGCGCTTTCTTTGTAAGTTTTAACTCTAACAAGGGTGTGGAAGAGTATTCATTTTCCATATCCTAATAATACCTCGTTTATTGAGGTTGTGTTCATTTATTGTGAAAGTGAGCAAATGGGAAACTGAAAGGCAAATTACTCAAGATAAGTTTTAAAAACGTTAAAAAGTCATTGTTCACAATTTTTTGAGCGTTTACACGTTGAAGGTATTGCAACTATCCTTCATCTTGTAAATATACCTACACTTTCGGCAAACATTTAGTATAATTTTCCCCTTTGGTCTTTCTTTGCAAAAGCGTAAATACTTTCTCATGTTAAAATATGTCATAAATTTTTGCTCTATTTCGCATTTACATTCCCTCAGAAGTAACTGTTTTGTCAACAAATCATGTGAACTGTTAAATATAATTGCGCAAAGAGTTCACAGGACCAACTCCAATTTTCAGTATCGACGCAAATTAAATTACCAGAATTAACCCTTCTACCAAACAGAACTAAAATTATAATAATCGAATACGAAAGATAAAATGAGCTTTCCGACCTCTTCCCCTGTCCGTTTTGCAGATCGTTCATGACCCAGACATTGGAACAACCCAGACAACAAATTTGAATTACGAACGTTATATTGTTACATTTAATAATAATAATAATTAATCGAACTCACACATAGTCGTTTTGTAGTGCTTATTCCCTAAACTATTGAATATTTAGAAACAACTGCTTTAGGGATAACTGCCTGTCAAAAATTTAAACACGTTCTTCTCAATATTTCATTTTTCGACCATAGCCAATATTTCAGGCCATGAGCAAAATAGGAACTTTTAATTGTTTGATAGACAATGCGAATGCCAATGCCATCCGGGAGAGCAGAAGAAAAAAAATTGAAATCCCAGTCAGTTAATGAAAGTTTATTAAGATGAAGTTTTAAGTGGATTTTATTATATTTGCGAATGAGAAAAAACGTCCTTGATTGCTTATAAGAAAACGCCTTTTGTAATGGCTAAAATTTAATACGAATAGCGACACAGAGGCAGCGGAGTAGTTGTCAAGTTATGATGAACCATCAAACATTTTCCAAAAATATATTACGTTCCATTTTAAAATTACGTGTCACGTTACATAAATTGTGTAGTTGTTAAATAATAATTAATAGATAATTATTGTAACACATGAAAATGCAAATACAAAAACTCGTTGGTTCAGAGATCACAGGCTGCTACTGTCATTGATGTTTGACTATTTATTTAATAAAATACAGTAGTTTGTGACGGGAACTATTTGTCTACAAGGAGCAATAAGGTTACAGGGTGACCCTCACAACAAACGAGGCAGACGTATTCAGTAGGCAAACCGTTCTCGAAACGATTTCACTCTTTCCGCCTCCAACGCGCTTTGTTCAATGACGAGACGAAGCGCAGCTATTTGGATATCAGAACAACGCACGCCACTGCATGAACCATCCTCCCCCCCCCCGGCAACACGTGTGTCCCAGCCGAAAATCCCGCAGCACTTCGCCTCTATCCTCTTGCCGACGCTCCCACTTCCCGCCTTGCCTCCTCCGCCGTCCTCGCCCCCTCTCCCATCTCGTGCCTTCTCCCCTGCCCACGCCCCCTCGCCTCCTCCGCCCCCTCCCCGTCCTCCTACGCCCTCGCTCCTCAACCAACACTTGCCCTCCCACCTCGTCCTCCCTGCGCGGCGCCTGCCAACCGCTCACTTACAAACTGCCACATCTCCACCTGCGCCTGCCTCCACTTCTCTTCCTCCTCCATTCCACCAGGCGAACATCGCTTTCGCCTGCTCCCCCTCTCTCCGCCCACCTCCGTTCTTCCGCTAGCACTGTTTTCAACCTTTTTCCTGCTTTGTTCTTTCGTCCATTCCCACCCAACCATTTCCCCCACCATCTCTTTGGCCGCTTCCGCGGCTCGCCGCCTCCGCCGCCTCCGCCGCCTCCGCCGCCTCCGCCGCCACCGCGCGCCGCCGCCGCCGCCGCCGCCGCCGCCGCCGTCGCCGCCGCCGCTGCCGGCGCCGCTCCGCCGTCGCCATCGGCCGCCGTACTCCCCTGCCGCTGCTTCTGTTTACCAGCCTTCACAACTGCCTCCGCCGCCTCCCACCGCCCTCGTCTTCTCCCCCGCTGTCGCCTCCGCCGTCCCTGCCGTCGCCTCAGCAACCGCCGCTCTCAGTCACCACGCCGTTCCTCACCCCTCGCGCCATCGCTCCGTCCGCCGCCGCGCCGCGCCGCCCGCGCTGCGCCTCCGCCGCCGCGCCATTCTCAGCCGCTCGATCGTGCTTGGCCATTACACTAGTCGTGCGGTCGCGAAGCATCTTGCGCCACGAGCGTTTCCATTTCGCGTCCCCGTCCGCCGCGGCCGGCGACCTTCGCAGCGTATCCTGTGACCTGCGCCTGATATGCCGATCCACCACCGCCGCCCGAGTCCACGACCAGGTAGGTCAGCGCTTTCGCCCAGTGTCAGTTTCTTTGTGCGTTTGCACGGAAATTTAATTTCGTTTCTATCGCTGATGCTTCTGCAAGCTGCTTGCTTATATATCGCTTCTATCTGCAGCCAAATGACTGTGATTATTTTGTTCAACGTTGCTCGATGCATTTGATTTGCGAGGACTGAGCTCTTTTTATTTTTCCTGGCTTGGAATTCCATTTTTTTTGGAGTGACCTGTTGCGTGATTTTGTGTTGGCTGTTTTGGTTGTAAAAAGATATGAGATACAAAATGGAAGTAATTATCGTATTAGTTTTCTTTATTTCCGCGTAGTTTCGTGCTTTGCTTCGTAAAAGAGGTCAGATTTTATGCGTAGTCGTTTAGGACTTGTTGATGTTCTTAGAGCAATCTTCTTCTTCTTATTGGGAAATTAAGTTTCACGTACGTCTCAGCTCTTGTGAAGCACCTGATACACGAGCAAAAATTAGGCACTATGAGTACGTCTCGAGCAATTCGGTTTATACAATGTAACAGTAACTTCTTGGATGAAATCTATAAAAGGATCAATGGCAGTTTTAATAATTTGAAGTGATATCATCGAAATATGTCTTTAGGCTTTTTGTGCGTCTTTTTACTTGGGTACAGTGTGTGCGACATTATTTTCGTTGATGTTTTTGTAGTATTTCCTGCAATAAGTGGACAAAGCTGGTTTACTCGTTAAATTTGTCATTATGTTCCCCTTTTGGGTTCAATTTCAAGGTCGTTGTTTTTCGTTTTTAATGTTATCCTGGCTGACCATTTTGGGATTATTCAGTAAGTTCATTTTTAGCTTATTTAATTTCGTTTGAATATTTTCATTTTTGGATAATTTCTCTGGGAAAACATATGTCTTGAAATTAACACTTTTATGTAAAACTAACTTTTCTGTGAAACGTTCCAATGAAAAACATTATTTTTTCATACTTATTTGAACCATACAAAACTGATTTGAAGACGTTCAGGGAAGCAATGAGTGTGGAAGAAGTTTAATGACAATTTGTAAGAATTTGTTTGTAATTTTACTTGTTGAGATTAAAGATCAAGCTAATTTCTGTAAACATTGTTCATAAGGAATGGAATAACTCATACGGCTCATTTTATAGTTATTTTCACAATTTTTAATAGTTATTTGTATTAAAATAACGTGAAGTGACATAATGTTTCTTCAACAAATTATCGTTTAGCTGGTTTCTAGTTGTAACAAATGAAGGTTA